ATCGATAGTACTTATAGCCACAAAGCAAAAGAAAGTTTAAATACACAGAATGAAAATTATTAAAACAAGGATAACGACCATCCAGTAACTGCCCACCCCACTCAGCCTCTAAGACTCTATCTTCTGACTAATCATCCTAACTTATCTCCCACCATAGGCCCTCTATCCTTGCTCATTCTGCTCCGGTTCTCCCGGCCTACTCAGTGGTCCTTGGATACACTAAGCATGTACCCACCTCAAGGCCTTGCAGCTGCTGTTCCCTCTGCTTAGAGTGCTCTCCCATCAGATAGCGATGGGACCCTGTCCCTGACTTCATTTGGGTTTCTATTAAAATGTCCACTTCACAAGAAGCCTTCCCTTACAATCTTGGCTAAAATATGACCGTATTACTTTTTTTTCACTGCCTTTATCATATCCTGATATTATATTAAATATGAATTTTTCCATTGTCTGTCCATCCACAACTACAATTTATGTCTTATTCAGTACTGTATCCCTAGCCCCTAAAATAAGGGCTAACAACAAGTTAGTACTCACATATTTGTTCAACAGTCTCCACAATGCTCACAGGCACAATGAGGAATAAATATTATTTTAGGTTTATTAAAATCAAGAAAAATATATCTATTCATGTCCAAATTTTACATGACAAAAAATATCTGAAACTCCCAGCTTCCAAACACTACTTCATGATTTAGAACTCTGCATAAAATTTCACTAGACTCCTGGGGCCACAGTAACAGAACTAGTAGCAAAAGCTAAAATGATTACTCAACATTCGTTTGAAGTACAACTTGGGCACAGCAGCCCATGCCCTTATTTAATCCATTTTCTATCACAAATATTAAAGATGACTGATATTTTTAAAAAGTCAGCTTCAAAATGAGAAACGTAAATTTGAGATCTGCTCATCTGGAAAAAAAGTTATATAAACAGAAAAACCTCTGAAATAGCCACTTGAGAAATACATTTTAAAGATACATGTGGGTAAAATGTGTCCATCAATTAATCCTTCCTAGTTACCATGTCTCCTCATATCTCCCAAGTCTGTATAACAGTTCCATCTTCCCCTCTGTCCCCAAACTGCTTGGCTAATTCATATTCATCATTCAAGACTTTGGGCTAGCTTCACCTCCTCCAGAAAACATTCCTTGACCCACAAGTAGATTAATGGTGTGCCTATAATATATTCTGAATATCACTATTATAATGCTTTTCATACTCTTATAGTCTACATCATATGAGACAATAAACACTTGTTGAATTAAAAAATTCAACTTCAGATCCCTGTATTGGCCAGCTGCCAAAAAAAAAAAATCTACTAATATTAGAAAATAAATGAAAAATGTAATAAAACACACCTTCATATCAACTTACATAACCATAAATTATTTAAAGACAGGGATTGGGCCTATTTCCATTTCCAGAAATAATGAATAGGAAATTCAGAAGAAACTTCCTGATGAAGTCAACAAAAATCCTTGGGGTAAAAGGGAGTCGAGAAGGACACTTCCTACAAGCATCAAAAAGCTAACAAAATATTGAAGGATTATAAGGCCAAGATTCAAGGCACTATAAAAATCTATCTCAGCCTGACAGCTGGATTGCTTTGGCCTGAGGCATGTTTACAGATCCATAAGAAGTGGCTGGGAATCTGAACAGTGTTTTCGACAGAGCTGAGGGTTTAGAGGACAAAAGCTGGAGTTCGAAGGTGCAAGCCCTGGTAATTCACCCCACAAAAAGTGTTGGGATCCTCAAAGGGATCCTTACCTTGGGAGTAAGGGAGAGAGGAAGTAAATCAACTTACTACAAGACTACAACCCAGCTTTAAATTTCAGCCCTGAAACTGAATTAAGATGAATCCAAGATACTCAACAGAAGAGATAATCCTCTCTGAAGAAAGATAAAATCATACTAACCATCAAATTGTTTCTACCACTTTGCAAAGACTAACAATTAAAAACAGGCACATTAAAAGATGAGATTATATGAATAAAAACAACCATACATCCACAAAACAAACAAAACATTCCTGATACTAATAATTACCAAACACAACTATGTTCATGGGATAAAAACTATACTCCTGGGATAAAAGCCACATTTTTCAAATCAAAAATTTCTTATAGACCTGTAAACTATATAAATAAACCAGACCTCAAAAAAACCTGGGATAAAAGCCACATTTTTCAAATCAAAAATTTCTTATAGACCTGTAAACTATATAAAAAAACTATATAAAAAATTAAATAAGGTATACTAGCATCTTAACAATTTAAGTCTTCCAGTTCGTGAATATG